AAAGGAAGAATCGAGCGTAATGAGAAGCAGCGATAACGTTTGCTGGGTTAGCATCAGAAGCTAACAGGCTGTTTAGCAGGGCATTTCCTTTGTCTGTGGACTTTACACTTTGGAAGTTCAATCAGAACATCAATACAAGAAAAGGAATGGCTAAAGACAACAATCCCTTCAAAAGTTGGCTGGTGTGAAACTCTGAGCAATAAAGTAGAAGAAAAAAAACATGGCACATTCCAAAAAAAGGTAAACCTGTTTCTTTATCACGTTCAGAAGTTATGCTCAGAATTCCAATTATGTTGGAACTACACTAAGATGGGTCTTTATGTATGAATTTCACTTCCCATGATGAGTAAAGAATCCCTCCTAATACTGAAAGGTTTTATATTGTTAGCTCAGTTAGGAAGTCCCAGAACATTTAGTAAGTCATTGTTAATTTTAATCTTTAAAATTATATTTCATAACTGCTTCCTTGAACAGCTACTGTACGTTTGGGCTCTTAACCTTTCTTCCAGTGATGCTTCAATAACCTTTCACCTGAACCTCTTTGCATGCAACCTGGGTATTGTAGTGCATGACTTAGCATAAATGCCTTCGTGAATGTGGATGTGATTTATTGATATATAAAAGCACCACAAAACACCAAATTCAATCTCTTTATCTAAAAAACACAAAGAGCTCCCAGTGTCGTTTGTGCAGCATGAAAAGCTGCTGTCAAACTGGTGCGTTAGAGGAATGTGGCATGTTTTTCTTTTGGGAAAGTGTTTATTTTTGCCCAGCTGCTTGCTAGTGGAGAAACGACATGAAGACAAAAAAGTTAATCTTCTTTGGAGGAATGTCAGATTACAAACACACCCAGCCCACATCTCTATGCATAAAGGGTCAGTTTGGACAGGGGCCCACGTTGGGGATAATGGAGCTTTTTATCGACAGGGGTGTAACTTAACATGTCCTCCATCCATTCAGCCAATGGAAGCCCTTTTTTAATGGCTGAATGTCCAATTTAAAGTCAAGGCAGTTAATCAGTGTTTCATAGCAGACCGCAGCAGATTCTGGTTTCCTGGCGTCTCTGTGATATATGGAGGAGATATAGAGATCTGTTTGGCCTTCACTTCAAGAACAATAAATTTACAGTCTACTGCCGTTTAGTGGCCGGTAATATTTACTTCTGTCACTATTTTTTCTGTGTGTGTGTGTGTGTGTGTGTGTGTGTGTGTGTGTGTGTGTGTGTGTGTGTGTGTGTGTGTGTGTGTGTGTGTTAATTTAAGTGTTCCTAAAGAGTTTTTCCTATTCAATTTCTGGGATCTGGGAAACAATTTTTTAACATTTTAGATTTTTAGAACTATTAAAAGTCTCTTTTATTTCCAAAGCAAGCTCCAAGCTCAAGCTCGCCTTGGTTACAAGCGCGCGCACTAACCATTGTGCCACCAGCGTGCGCCGGCTGAAACATTTTTCATGTATCTGAAAAACATGGCAAAAAAAGAAAAATATATATTATAATGTGCATTGAAATAACATAAAACTTGTTCAGTGGTCCTACTAGTGTTTGTGTAAGTGTTACATGTCAAAATGGGACTTTCCTATTCACAGTTACAGAAGGGTTAAACTTTGTTGCACACCACACAGAAAATAAAGTGAACACAAAACACACCTGGAGACAAAAATGGCATGACTTTTTCTCTCTAACCATACAGGTCATACCCAAGCCATAAAACAACCTTCAGATAACTCAGGCCGATGTTTCCCCTCCTGTTATATGTGCTGCAGAGTCATTATTTAACAGCAGGATCTGTCAGGGAAACAAGATTAACCTGCTGGAGAGCTACACACCAGCTAGATGCCATAACAAAAGAGAAGGAAAGAAATGAACAGATAACACATTGATGTTTTATAACCGTGACTGCTGTGGGTGCACTGAAGAATGCAAATAAAACAATCTGATGTTGAATTTGAAGCCAACGGATTCCAAATACTGAATTAGCTGCAAAATTCAAATGTATTTACAATGTATGACAATGACATTGTAACAAATATGCAGGTTTTTTGTAATATTTTGTATGAATTATTACATTGTCCATCGAAGAAAAACTGTACTATGACACAGTGATATTAGGATGTTGAAATTAATTGTTTATACAATGCACGTCGGTGTGGACATTGACAATTCGATGCAGTCATAGAACATTAGCAGTTGTTGCATACTGATGTTGCTTGTAGATTTTCAATCCACAGCTGGACCTATGTACATATTTACTTATTTTGGGTTTACAATGTAAAGATATTTATGCTGACATTGATTCCTGAAGCACTTCATAATTAATAAAAAGGACAACATATTCATCTGACTGATTGTCTTCAATGATGAAAACGTAGCGATGTCTGGTAACAGAAAATTGAGGATACAACTCATCGTGATGCATCGTGCGTCCAATCGAGTCGAATCAATAATAATCGTAATCCAATCATATCGTGAGACCAATGAAGATGCACAGCCCGACAGTGATATGTGCAATTTAAATCTCTGCAATTCAGATTTTTTATATATTTTTTTAATGTTTCTGTTCCTGTCCAGAATAAGAACTGGAGGGTTGTTTAACAATGCTCAACACTACAACATGTAGATTAAAAAGTGGTGTGGTGTGTGTTTTGAACAGGTTTTAATTGGATGGTTGGCGTGGTGAGGAAGATCATTACTGAGGCCACTGGAGAAAGAGCAGAAACCAAGATGCCCCCACTGATCGAGTTCATGGGACCAAAGGTTTTAAAGGTACTCACCGGATGTGTGTTTGTCTTGATAGACTGTTTATATTATGTTGATGTATAGCCGACAGGAATTAATTGGTTTGTGGACAACAATTTGAGGCCTTTAGAGTTTGGCATTCTTGCAATCACCATCTTGGTTTTACGCAGCCAGAAGTGATTATAATTTGAGAAGAGGGTGAAGTTGGAGGGGGCGTTAACAAAAAGTCCTCAGGTAATCCTAGAGTTAGCTTAGTTTGCAAGATGCATTTATTAATCACTGTTACTTTTTTATTAACTGGGATGCCAGCTTTCGCTGCCAAAGCAAATTAAATAATGTTAAATAGAAGTGCTTTCAAAAAAAATTAAACAATCAATGTGTCTTTACATCCAGTCAAACTCTGAACTAAACGTTTTTAGTTGCTGGGAGCGACTTAAAGTTGCCATGCTCTAAACATGTAGATGTATTTTCTATTTCACTATAAATGGAACCATAATGTAATAAATGAACACCATTCTTTTTTTGTGTTACATTTTTTATTTAGAAATGTACAAAGAAATTGCATCATATATTAAAAATGTTTCCCCCTTTACTTCCCCCCAACCCCCTAAAAATGAACATCATTCTTGAAGAAGATTCAAAAATTGTAATTGAGACCAAAAGCTCATTAAGAAAAAATAACTGCTGCAATCAGCCAATTGAGAAGTAGGCTCATTTTAACTTTGTATTGTTGCAATCAGTGGCGTGATCCCCCTGCTGGCCTTGAGAAAGAATATATATTCAAGGCGTTGGTGAAACTTTTCAGACCTATACAGTCTGAGTCATGTCTCCATAATTATAACCTACAGATGCAATTTTCCAGCCGTTCCTCATTATGCAATGAACAGCCTTTAAATAGTGGAACTTTTGCCCACTAAAAAATGAAAACCCTCTAAAATCATTTTGTTGTGGGTCAATCCCACCTCAGATTGTTGTACTTCTGAGTGCTAATTTAGCCAATTTAAAAAACAGGATTACTTATTACTTATAAGAAGAAAAAAAAGTAGATTTTGGTATGAACTGATCAAGTCTATATAGGAACACAATCTGAATGTCCTGGAGCTCTGTCAGTGGAGGGAATTCTCCTCTGTTTAACCCTGGTTTTTATTACTCTTCCCATCCTCCGTCAACAACGCTCTATTTCTTCTGCCGGGTAGAGCTTACACAGTTACTCTGGTTGTTTAACTGTTCATCGTTTTTCTGTCCTAAACCGAGACTTTATTTCACTGGGAGATCGTAAATGTTGGTGGACAAAACTGAATGGTGAAAAGGAGGCTTATCGCAAATACATTTGAGCCTTGATAGTGTATGAGTCAATAGCCCTTTCATTGTGTAAACTACAATTACTTAACCCAATAATCTAGTATAATGAGACTTAGCTGTCTTTTGTACAGGACAAAAATAATTCAAAATGAATACAAAAGACAACTGGACTTTGTTGAGGTTCTTGACGAAACAAAAAGGCTGCTCTTCCACTGTATGGGTGGAGTCTTGGAGTGAGGTTATTGATTGAGGAGCTGTGCAGCTATTGTATTACAGAAACTATTGTCATTCCAAGAGGAAGGAAGATTGATTGATTTCTTTCTTATTTCTCCGCTGTGACCTTTTAGAAAAAAGCTGAAAGAAAATAAGAAGACAAAAGGGCACACACTGGCAGATATGATGGTCCAGGAGATTTCTGTGTGCATGAAATGAAAAGTTAAGACCGAGATTAAACTATATATAAAATAAGACTCTGCAAGAACTGAAGTTATTTATATTCTCTCAGAGGTAGTTTGCATTTTGTGAGCACGCTACATGCTAGAATTGGTAACCAATAATCTTGAAGAAAGTGTCCCTAAAAAAAGTTATATTTAGTTTACACGTACAGCTGAAGAGTTTTCTCCTAAAATGTTTCCGTAAAAATCTGTTTCTTCTTTCAATTTTCATACCAAGCATTTTTGCACTCACAGTAGATTCAAAACTGAAAGAAAACTACTGAAAACAGTAGTAAAATAACCACATATTTAAATACAAAACTGTTCTTAATGTTTTGATTGCCTTTTTCTGATTTTGTCAGATTTCTCCACAACTGTGCAGATTTTCATGACATTTGAACGCTGGTATAATTAATGATGTGTTTATTATGCAAATCCAGGCAGAAATTCAGACAGAAAACGGCTGAATGAATTATGAAGCCAAATTCTCTAAACTACTCTAATGCTTCAAATTCTCTGGTTTAACTAGTAACCTAGTTATTGTAGCTATTAATATTTAAACAGAGGCAGAAACACAGAAATAAACTTGCTGTTTTAAAACCAAAAGCCTTGAAAGGTCAGGGACACACACACATCTGCTGTTGAAAAGTTAACTTTTTAAGTTTAAATCTATAGCCTGAAAGCAGCTTTGACCATTTATGTGACATAGAGGCAACAACACCAGAAAACAGCCTAACTGCTGTTTAGAAACCAACAAAGAAAAATAAATCACTATTTACTTTGTAATGAAACACTTTCCTTTTTGTTAATGATGGACCATTCAAATCTTTTTTTATAACGGTGCCAAGCGTTAGTTTGATTTAACATGTATTCAATGCTGAACTGTTTAAATCATGTAAAATCAATTGGGAGGAAAATACCTTTTTTCTCAGTGAGAGTTAAATGGTCAAGTCTCTAGTCTTAAAACACAGAATCAGTGGCTCATTAGCTTAGCTTAGCATAAAGAGCAGAAACAGGTGGACAGAGGTGAAACTGAATCAGACCATGTTTTTTTACATTGGGAACTTAAAGCTCTTTGTGTGAAATGTTGGCAGGGAACTTTTTAACTCTTTGTAAATATTATTTTAAGAAAATGTATAATTCTGGTCAATATGCTGTATGTTATATACTGTATATACAAAACATATTTATATTTATGTACATTTATTTATTATAATATATGACATTTACTATCCCTACTGCCCTTGTCTCCCCTCAGGCTGTAAATGAGGCTCCATCTCCAAGGTTTCTAGGGGCTCACCTGCACCCTGATAACATCCCCGCCTCCTTCTATGCAAAGAAACCCAAAGTAAGTTTCAAAGCTTTTGTAGTAAGATGTTAAGGTGACCCTTATCAACTAGGGGCAAGGGAATCTAGTAAGGTCAAAAGATCAAAGCTTACCATGAAATCTTTTTATTAAAAGTCTGATGGGGATATAAAACCATATTAGATTTTCAGAGATGGAATGCAAAGAAAATCTGAGAATATCAAAAATCAGGAAATTACAGGGGGGGGGGGAGGGGCTAAAGGCTCAGACATTGGTGTTTATTCCCAGCATCGCAGACTGTTTTTTAGGAACATTGACTGTCACCTTTCTGGCAGGGAAAAAAACAGAGCTTGTGAGAAAAGTGTAGCAGCTGAATACAGTATAAGTGGTCTTACATCTACCTATAATGTAGTTCAAGTAGTAAACTGCCAGGGAGAACTATTACATTTCCTGTTACCAAGGACAAGGGGCCCAGGACTGGTGTAGGGATTCTCTTGAGCCCTTGGCTAAGCACCATGTGTGTAGGAGTTCTCCCACGGAAAACCACTAAAGACCTGGCTGGACCTACATGGAGGAGGTTGATTGTTTAAAAGAGGTTGAAGTGGTATCCCGATCTGAAAATGAATTGTGTTTTGTTGTAGGAATGCTTGCCATGGATCCTGAACACACTAGGGGAAAATGCTAATCACCCACATTGCTTTATCATCAGATTTACAATAATATGTCTTGTACACTTGATCTGATCTGCAACTGATGATTAGTGTGATGATAAATGGCATGCAACCAGACAGACCAAGGTAAATCTTTCTTTGTAGTAAGGGTGAACTGGGAACTGACTGTCTGAATATCCTCAGTACAAACTGAAACGCATTCCCAGTGGAGGTGCCGTTGGCAAGGGTTGTCCCTTGTTACAGATTTGGTTTGTTATTTTCATATACAAGATCTCAAGGTACAGGAAGAGGCACAGGAGGAGAGTTTCCAGTTAAAGGACCTCAGAGTTGCTTCCATGTATTTATCAGATGACTATTAGCAGTTACTTGGGTGGTTTACAGCCAAATGTGAAGCAGATGGGATAAGCACCTTCAAATCTGAGGCAATGGTGTTCTACTGGACAAAGTGATGGATTGCTCATTTGAGCATAGAAGTGAGTTACTATCTTTAGTAGAGGAGCTTAAGTAAGTTTATGAACAGCATATCAGCAGTAAAAGGGTAAATGGACTTTTCTAGTCTTCTGACCACTCAAAGTGCTTTTACACAACATGTCACAATCACACACTCATGGCAGAGGCTGTGACATTAAGTTCCAAATTGTCCCTCCATACTATTCCATTCACACTGATGGAGATTGGGATCAAACTCCCAACCTTCCAGTTAATAATCAACCAACTTTACCATTGAGCCACAGCCACCCACCAATGCACCAGCCCACCCGGGTAGGCTATTGTACCAAGGCATACTATTGAAGCGGGAGCTGATCCAAAAGGCAAGGCTTTCAACTTTGCCAGTCGGTTACAGTTACAAGCTCAGACAGTGTAATAACCTTTATAGCTCAATTTATTAGGCATCAGAGGCATTACACGAAAAAGCATCTTTCTTTCTTTGCCGGACTTTGTATGTAATATGTCTTTGTGTTTATGCCCATGTGTTGTTTTTCTTCTTCTCTTGGATGATGTTTTATTTTTTTTGTGTCAAATGTATGTTCTTCAGTCTACTGTGTTGAATTTTAACTCCATTGCTTTTAGCGCTTCTGTACAACAAATATTCAATTGCAACTTTTTTTGTGTTGCGAAGATGCTGGTGATCTTCAGGAACCCTAAAGACACTGTGGTCTCCTTCTATCATTTCTGCAACAACAACCCAGTCCTTCCCTCTCTAAAGTCCTGGGACTCCTTCTTCTCTGACTTCATGAGCGGAGACGGTGAGAAAAATCCACACTTCCAACCCTCAGGAGCCAAAGACATTTATGTTGCATTTTTTGATTAATTTGTTTTCACCACCCAACAGACAACACAGTTGTATTATCCCCCTATCATGTGATGTATGGCCAGACTAACCCTTCCTCCTTATGGCCTCACAGTGTGTCAACCCTGTAGTTGACAGATATAAGTTAAGATAAGATAATACCTTATTGATACCCAGAGGGGAAATCCAGGCATTGCAGCAGCACAAAGACAAGTAGCAAGTAGGTAGTACAAAATCAAAATCGAAACAGAATAGGTAAGATAAATTCAAATAAGATAGAAAGTATATACAACTGGAATATAAAGGAGTGAAGTAAATTATACAGGACAATGAAGACGATCTGTGCGTTGGATGGAAAGTTAAAGTAACGAATAATGATTTAAAGTGACTTGGTATGATGAATAGCAGCAGTAAGGAGGACATACATACTACCTTGAACTGCTGACTTTATGATCCTGAGCTCAGCTGGGTTTATGATGTAGTAAACAGCCAACTCAGCGGGCTCACTGAGAAATCTGTGTTGACTGCGGCGCTCTACTCAGCGAGTCTAGTAAACCAGGAAACACAAAATCTGAGTTAAGATGATTCTCACGCCTTCTCACAGCAAAGTATTCTCATACCTGTATGTTAGCAAGACGGGGCAAGAAAAGAGGTTTGAAAGTACAAATAGCTTTCTCATCTGTTTTTATCTCTGTGTATGTATGTTTAGTTCCCTGGGGGTCTTACTTTGAGCATGCCTTGGCCTGGGAGAAGAGGATGGATGACCCCAACGTCATGATTGTCACCTTTGAGGAGCTAAAACAGGTAGATACCATTGGGTCACTTTATAAAACATTTTAGATTTTTAGATATTTCCTTTTTACGTATTTAATCTTCAAAACACCACTTATTATAATGAGATACTGGAAATGAGTGAAATGTGTATAAGAAGCTCTTTTCCCAAACACAAGAACCTTCTGAGGGTTTTCATGTCTGTTTTATGTTTACAATATTAATACAAAACTACTGATTCAACAAGGTAATATATATTTTCTTACTCTTTAAGTTGACAATGTCTCTATATTTCCAACAGGGTTTCAGTACATTTGATTTCTTCTAGTCAGCCAGAGGTTTCAGTCAAAATCCATGAAACATCAACATACAATTGAATCTTGCAGAGCAGAGATCATCAGTCACAGTCAGTAACAACTTTGTTTTTTTTGTCTGCCCTGTAGAACCTGAATGAGGGCGTCCGTCAAATCAGCACCTTCTTTGGCTTCAGCTTGACCACGAGTCAGGTCCAGAAGATCACTGAGGAGAGCACCTTCAAAGCCATGAAGGAAAGCTCTGCAAATGCCCACACTATTGGGAACATCATCTTCAGGAAAGGTGCCTGAGAGACTTTTTTTTATACCTAAACTGTTTTACCCATTTCACTAAATTTACAAAACAGATGGAAAATATGATACCTCTCCTATTTGAATCCCTGTGCAGGTGAGGTCGGTGACTGGAAGAATCACTTCACACCAGAACAGAGCAGAGAGATGGATGACGCCTTCAACAAACACCTGGCAGGAACAAGGCTGGGAGCCAAACTCAACTACCAGATTCACTGTCAGTAGGAAGCCAGGGAGAAATCAAAGGGAGGGAAATGTGTTGTTTTCTACGCCTTGGGGACTTCTCTGCCCTGAGCTGAGGGCCCCCTCCTCAGGATAGATCTGCACAGATCTCTTTCTTTCCTGGTTTGGACTTCAACCCCAAAGGCATCAACTCTTCTGACATTGTTGGAGGCAGGAATGTCAGGCAAAAAACTGCCTGGGAGGCTCAGTTCAAGCAGTAAAGTCCGTTCTGAAAGGCTGGAATAATGAAGAAGAAATTAAAAAAGAGGGGATGCAAGAAGTAGATAAGAATGCATTATGGGTTATTTACCTTTAACATGATGGCTGACACATATCATTCAAGGAATAGTTTTACATTTTGGGAGATCAATACCCTCCTTGTATTTTAAAACTTAAGAATGTTATAGCAGGGCTCACCAAAAGACTGCTGTCCAAGTCCTGTAAAGAAACAAACCCAAACCTTATTTTGACTTAAACTGCATATGTTAAGTTTTAAGATTGGGTTATAATGTAATTTCACTTGTATGTTCATAACTTTAAAAAATGAACTCACCTTTGCTCAAACCCCCAATGAAGGTTGCGACAACGTTGTGCCCCCCCCCCCCCCAAACAAAAAAAAATGTCAAACTATTCTTTTAACCAACTCATGGGATTCCACATTTTGGTTCATCTGGAGTCTATCTGTTTGTTAAATAGAGAGATGTCAGTGAAAATAACAGTTTACAACTTAAAAAAGACAATACACAAGCATAGGCTATGTCAGAAAACCTTTCTTATTCGTTTAATGACTTAAGTACTGCACTCAGTTTTTATAGTCATCAGAGGAAATAAAACTTCAAGTACTGCATTGTGTTTTAACAAACAGCCAAGTCAGTTTGCTCTGAGCAAATCAAAAATGTTTAACCAGGCCGTTGAATTTCTACTATTATGAATGTAGCATTGTTTGTCTCTCTCAGGTGTCAGATTTATCTATAATGATAAGTCCCAGGTTGCTTTATTTCCTCATGTTTAAAAGCTGTTTACAAACATAACAGTTGAATTAAACTGGCAGCTATTACTTGAATCTTGTGGAGAAACTGTAGTGTTTAGATAGTTCTTTAATGTGATTTTTGGCTAATACATGACCTACATTACATCTCTTTTCATGACCATTACATAATCAAAATAAAAGTCAACCCATATCTCAAATTGTTTGACTCCTTTATTGCTCAGCAGGATGGATTCATGCATGAAGCAAGAAAAGCCACCAAGGATCTGCACATGTGGTTATAAAACAGGTATTATGTGTGTATAACTTAAGACACCTAATGGAACAAACGTGATGTTGCATAGTTAAACACCAAGTGAGCCACACAGATACAGACTTGAGAGTAAATTGAATGAAGTAAAATGCAAACAAAAAAGGCTGTCTGAAAGGAGTCCAGTAGCCTATTAAAATATCTTAATGAGGACAAAGTTGTCCAATGAAAGGGTTAGAAAAAAGCAGAGCCACACGCAAAGTCCACAGAAACAAGGATGAAACGAAAAGATAAGCACAGAAGGCAGACTTAATACACACATGGTCAGACAAAGGTGAGACGGACAAGACAAACATAGTTACAAATGCAGGAAAACAGACTAGGAAGGTAAAATGGTCACTATTATTCCTTGAGGTGTAAATAAAAATAACTTAATAATAACTTTTTTTTATCTGTATTCTTGTCCTTGTAAAAATCTCCTGTGGGAAGATTTTAGTTGGATGTAAAACAGACTGATAATAACACTGACGCCTCTATATGGCCTACAAAAGCAAACAAGACCAACCACAACAATGTCATATTTTCTTAAAGTTATTTTTTCAATGCTTGGAACCGCTGCCAAGGATGACTGATGAAGTTAGTCCAACTTTTTTAACTTTTTAAAATAGTTTCCACAGCAAATATTCTTAGTGAGTAACAAGTTTGACTGATCAAAGAAAGCAGGATGTATATAGATAGATAGATAGATAGATAGATAGATAGATAGATAGATAGATAGATAGATAGCTTTAAGCACTGGTGCAACTCTACAAGAAAAGTAAAAAACAAAAAATAGCCTAATGTATTTAAAAAAAAGTAAAGAGTTCCAGTAAAGAGAGCTTGAAATTCAAAACCGGAAGTAACATTTCCACTAGCACCCCAGAATTAATTTTGAAGGGTCAAACCGGATGTCTTGGTGTTATTGTTCCTGGTCTTGACAGCGATGTTCTCCGTCTCTCCTGAATGAATGACATCATGCGGGATGCTGTCTGTCCCATAGTCTGTCCCTATCTGCGACATGACACCTTCACACAGTGACGGCTACAGGTTGATTTAAAACCTTTACAGTGCAGGCGGTAAGAGCAGCACCTTAACGAGTTTATAATAATGAATCAGCGATTGTTTCTGTTAGCTAGCTAGCGTTAGCCTGTACAGAGCTAACCTGGTTAATAATGCTAAAGGCTTAGTTATTTAAATGTGATGTGGAGGAATAATGAGCTTTATTTTCTAAATAGATCCGCTGTTAGTTGATCAGGTCACCTGTCTGTCCTCTTTGGCTTTTATTCATGTTGGCTCAATGAGATTTAACAATTAGATATAAATATAATTGTTTATTTACAGTCTGTGGTTGTAGCTGTTTTTGCTACATGATGGCTCATCATCACAAGGAGATCATTTTAATTTCTGGAGTTTTAGAGTATTTGTTTTTACAAAGCAATGAAAACTAACTGAACATGCAAATGTGATCCAGAAATATAAATACAAATCTGTGCTGGTGAATATTACTCCAAGACCATTATTGTAATAACTATTTGCATTTAATGCTATTATTTTTAATGTGCTCTAATGATCAAGCCACCCAGCAGAATAAATGATATATTTACTATAGTTCCATCATTAGTGATGCAAACACATAAATTATGCATCACTTTGTAAACAAGTCCTTTCATTGTTTATACATTTGTTGGTATACTTTGATATTTATTATTTTGCACTTACTATAGGTGATATAAAAAAATGTAAAGATTGACTGCTCTATAATAATTGGCTTTTATAATTCCGTTGATTGAATAATCAATAATGTCACAGCTGAAAGTATGTCAATTTTCCTTCTCTCTAGATGTATTGATAAATTGCTAGCTTTAAATCTTCAGAGAATCTCAATTAACAGGGCGTATTGTTTGCTCTTAGTGTATTTTTTTTGGAACAACATTTTTAAAAAAAATGGAATCAGAGATTTTTTTTTTTTTTTTTGACTGATTTAATATTAGTTTCCGCTCTGATTGCTGTCATGTTCTTCTTTGTTTTCCAGGTTTAGAGTGATGCAGCAGAGGTTGTGTTCCAGAGGCTCTGGTTCTTTCTTTTTGGAGAGGAACGGCCAGGCCTGTGGCGCCATCTCCATCACTTCCCGTGACCTCCCCTTCCGTTGCCCCCGCTGCGGTGAGCAGGAGCGTTTCGGCAGCCTGGCCTCACTCCGTGCGCACCTGGAGTACCGCCACTCATACCGCTCGCCGGACGTGACCGCCGGTGGTTTCAGCATCACCGGCAAACTCCCGGACCCATTGACTGCTGCGATACCCTGGTACGACATGAGCCTCCCGACCCGCAGGGGGCAGCAGAGCATGGGGAGGCCACCTCACGCCCGCTCCCTTAGTGACAGCAGAGACAGCGGATACCTCCACTCCTACGGCTCTGCGAGGAGACGCACACAGAGTGTCGGGGTGGGTACTCAGGCTGATGAAGAAGACGAGGATGAGGAAGACGACCAGGAAGTCGGGACTGAGGATGAAGATGCTGGAGAAGAGGAGGATGAGGACAATGAAGGTGAAGAAAGACATGGTGGGAGAAATGAAATGGATGTCAAAATGTCTGACAAAAAGACAGAGGCAGGTCACCATCACCTGAACCACCATCACCTCCATCACCTCCTGTTCCCTGCTCCTGCTCCTCTTGGCCCCCCTCCAGACCCGGACCTGGACCTAGACCTGGAGCTGGTTGGTGCGTTCAGGCTTACATGCTTAGTCATTTTGTTTTGTCTATGGAGAAGAGTTTCTTGTCTAAATAAGTAAACAGTATGTGCAGAGTGTGATCTGAGAGTTGATCAGGCAGTTTAAAGAAAAGTGCTCTGTTGAAACACACATTCAGACAATCAAAGTTTGTAACAACAGTTCGTGTGCAAGACAAAAACACAACAACAACAACACCACCGGAGCAAATTAGAAACAGAAAACAGACAATGAATTAGGTAGGCCTTGAGAAGAGGTGTGATGTGCAGAGTTTGGGGTTGTGTGACTCAAAGAGAGAGAGACTGTTGCTCTGTACTGAAAGAGTCAGTGCTGCATGATTCCAACAAGTTCTTAACTTGTTATTTTAGTACTTTTTAAGCTTTTATTTAATAGTGACAGAAGGGAGATCTTAGCAAATAAGGCGAAAGAGAGTGATGGGGAACAACGGCAGTGGTAGAGTCGGTTGTCTCTCAACTGGATGGTTGAGGTTTCCCCAGATCCTGCAGCCACATATCCGATTTGTATCCTTGGGCACTTTACACAGCAGCCTCTATCAATGTGTGTGTGAATGGGTAGGTATGACCTGCGATGCAAAAATGCTTTGAGTTGTCAGAATACTAGAAAAGCGCCATACAAGCTCAAGGCTGTTTATCATTTTCAAGAACTGAACATGTCATGGCTATTTAAACTAGATGCCACCAGGGAACCAGCAATGACATTACATTCATGCACTGTAATGTCTGGATTAAAAATGTTGTGGATATATATCTAAGTACAATTCTTTGACCTGTAAATACTGACAATGTCTGTTTAAAATCCTATATTTAAATGATGTATTTTACATCTTCAATACTGAAATGTATTGTTCATGTTTGTGTGCAGGGTAGATTTACCCCACATTCTGTCAATTCATTGTAATGTAAATGTGATCTTCTCAAACAGTCGTGGTTACAGTAACAGTACCTCTTGTCTCTGTAACGGTAACCACCAGAGCAGAACTCATACACCGGCTTGGAGACGGCAGCAGCCTCGGCCGCAGTTCAACGGCGACTGGCCAGCATCCTGAGGGCGGCCGACAGCACCATGCAGCGTCGACTGGCCAAGGTGAGCACAGAGCTCGCCCAGACGGACACGGAGCTCCTGTGTGAGCGAGCTCACTCACAGCACCTGGCCCAGGAGAGACAGGAAGTGGCTAACAGGGAGAGGTCACTGAGCCGGCAGGTGGACGTGGCTGTCATGGTGATCGCCGCGTTGAGGGAACAGCTAAATGCCTCAGAGAACGAGTTGGAACGCCGAGAAAGGTAAAAAAAGGCACTGGATCTGCGCTTCCTTAGGACTTAGGGGGAAACTCAAAGTCCTTAAGTGATGAAGGGATTCAGTTTTGTGAGAGTTGTTGGGAAAAGTGGTCATTGCTAGTCTTGGGTAGATCTGCAGAGAAGATAACAGAAGAGTGAGCAATCAGGAAGGAAGGTACAGGCCAAATAAATCTAAGAGACAAAAAAACATAAAGAGCAGGAACAAAGCTACACAACACATAAAAGGACTGGCAGCCGAGCACAAGAACTGATCTGGTGTATATTTAGTAAGGCTGGCGAGTGAAATGAAACACTCTGCTGAGAGGCTGCCAAGAGCAGTGGGGACAGGTAAGCAGATGGTTGGGGTTGTATGGAGAAAGAAAGGAAATTCCAATGATCTCTTGGGGATCGATGGGAATCGAAAACCTGGCCGCAGAGAAGAAACAGAAGGACAGACTTTGAACCTTAAAGTCTGACATTACATTCTTGGAACCACATTTAGCTGTGATGCTGCTGACATAGTTTACTCCAGAGATCTAGTGAAGTCTCGAGACTTACAGGAGACACAATTGAAGCTGCAGAGGCAGAAATAACCTGACTTTTTAGTCTCAAGTACGTGTTGAACTGCAGGAACCTCATAATCTTACCGAATGATGTAGTTCATTCTTCATATGAACTACATAGTTAGGGTTACTTCTCAAACTTTTGAGGGCTCCTCCAGAGCAACAGGATTGATTAAAGTGCTGCTTTTTCAATGCCTTGTTTGTATTCCAGAGAGGTGATAACAATACAAAAGTTTCTGGAAGCGGCAGCTCGACAGGAGACTTGCGGGAAAGTTCGAATCCAGCAATTCATCGAGAACCTGCTGCGACGCATCGCTCTGGCCGAGAGACTTGTGGAGTATTACCAGGTCAACGGCAGCCTGCAACAGTGCAACCACTACAAGGTACAACAACTTACCCAGGGCAGGTTTTTCTCCACTATTTGACAACTACAGTGACGTGGCATATTTCAGTCTGTGCAAAGCAACACAGATGTTTTCAAATGCCATGTCTGATGAACTGAATGTATTAATAAGAGTGATGACAGTGAGCGTCCACACCCTGGAAACAAGAAACAACAAAACCAACTGAGGGGGCATCAACATGTCAGTACAGTGCTGTTTCTATGCACCCACTCTGACCTTTGATCTTTTCTGTGTTCACATTAGTACCAGCAGCCGACTGATAATGGACCTCACAGAATCACTAAAAGCAGGTGAGTCTGCACTTAGTTGTTTGGTATGGTCTTGTGTAACCCTGTAATGCAAACAAAATGAATGATTTGTTTGTAATGTTTCAAATACAAGCCTATAAGTTAAGCCAGGGCAGCGCAACACTGGACAAAGTGTGTCGGAAACTTAACATTTTGAACCCTTTTTTAGGAAATGCAGAATTGTCTTATTGTGGAAACTCTTTGGAAAGTTCAAAAGGCGCCAATTATTTTAAATAAAGACCAAAAGAGCTGTACTGTACTGTACTAAACTCATTTTGAAATGCATCAGAATTTACTTTCCCTCTTAAGCAATGCGCTGACTTTTAATACTTCATCAGATTGTATTCTCTTATGTCATCCATATGAGTTTCTTTAGAACAAATCATTGATCTTATTTCTTAAATAAAGGTACATTTTCTTAGGGCCTCTTTCTATTTTGTTGTTAGACACTTTACAGCTAAGCTGCTTGAAACAAACTCTGGTACGCTTTGTCAGATAGTTCTTTTGGTTTGGGGTGGTGTGAATGCTCAAACGAACCCTGGTGCTGACCAAAGAACTGAACTCTGATCCGCTTAAAACTGGGGGTCTCGGCTTGTTTCAAAGTGCATCAAAGTTAGGTTCGCCGTAGGTGAGAACACGTTCCAGACCAAACAAGGGAAGTCAACCAAAATGCAGTGCATTGTGGGTTGAATTTGGCGAGCATGGCTAACGTTGGGATTGCTAACAACACCAGTCCTCATTGCAGGTTAACATTAACCTGCCTGTGCTAAGTGTGGTTACACATTGCCTCGGTCGATATGCCAGTTTAAGCTGACACAGAAGACATATAACTTTGTCTCCATTTTATAGATCAAAATACTGCCCATCTGCACCGCGCTACAGGGTGTCATTCTTCCACCGTCCTGTTGTTTTCTTTTGGAGTCATAGTGCTACTGACGGCACTACAGCTTCAAGTGGCTGGTGGCTATGATACACGACATTTGACAGGCTTTGGTGCACTTGACAAAACACAGTCTGAAAACAAACCAAATGAAAAATGCAACAATGTTACAACTTCACCCTGAATCACACAGAGTTCACCGGACTTCATATGTGAAAGCGACCTTAGATGACTATATAAGCCTGTTAATGTTGATGTAACAGTCTTCAATAGGGGCGCACTCGATCCTGTTCCAGCCATTTGTCTCTGGCTGTTAGCTGGAGCTTCTAAAACTTTTTAGCATATAGTGAATTAGACCACAAGCAGCCGTATCTCAGTAGCTCAGTAGCTCAGGCCGGTTCGAGTTCCCTGTACAGGCCAAATATGAATTTGGGACTGGTTGCTGCAGAGTTGCAAGTTCACTCTCTGAGTACTGCGGAAATGCCCTTTAACAAGGCACTAAACCCACAACTGCTCAGGGAGCCGGTCCCGGTGTGCAGCCCCCTCACTCAGACACATTTCCTTTTTCTGCTTTTGGGCATCAGGTGTGAGTGAGTGAAGCGTGTCTCACAATGACAAAGTGAAGAGTCTTATTTCCCTCAGGATCAATAAAGAGTATAAAATAAGGGTTTTAAAAATACTGCACAGTAACTTGTATCTCTATCCATTCATTCAATAGCTGCTTGGTCTGCTGTCCCTCTGAATCAAGCCAAAGGTTAACACAGGGGCTGCTAAATAATTGATGAGGACTCTCGTCATCTGTCGGATTACCCTGTTACCATCACGTGTAATTCATCCCTATTTATGTATCACCTGGTCCCTCCACTCAGTCCCTGGAGAAGGATTACCTGTGTGTCTGTGTGTGTGTCTGTGTGTGTGTCTGTGTGTGTGTCTGTGTGTGTGCAGCTGAAAGAGTGTTTTTTGGGGTTGGTGTAAGTCATCTGTGCATCATGAACAAGAGTGTTTTTCTTTATATTCATATATGTATAAGTGGAGAATAAGCTTAGGCCAGTATAGGAGGTAGTAACAGAGGTCAAACGGTGTCACTGCAAAGCATCAGAGCCGTCGGGACACAACAGCATTGAGCCTTTTTTCTTTCCTTCCTTTCAGGGCAGCATGTTTACATATTGTGCCTCTTGTTCTTCCACAACACCACAACAAATACTGGAAAATATATTAGCTCTTGTAGCTCTACATCAACATTATGTTGTAGGGCTCAATGTAAAACTTCTATTGCTGAGTGACGGTAGAGCTTTATTTAGGTAATGCTGCATAATTTTAATGTGAAATAAGCTTCAGTTTTTCAATTTTTTTGAGGTTTGACTTGAGCTATTAAATTACAGCATCTTGTTGTGTGCTTCTCAGGAAAATTTGCATCAACCCCGACTGGTTTTTACAAAATGTGTGTAGATGACATTAATGAGCCTTTTCTTCCCAAAAATCTTCTGGAAAATGTGTTCAAATTTAGAATAAATGTGGACAGAAACTTCATATCATTGTCACATAGTTTTCAAATTGTCAGTTGATTGTAGCTGCAAAGTTAACGATTAAAGATGCCGTTAAATTAAGCTAAAAATGAATACCACTAAATCAGCGAAGTCATAACTACAAGTTGGCTTCCACTTTTCATGAAGATCCCTCCTAGTGGCCAATCAAGGTACTGCAGTGTTAGCGTCCAAACTTTGATTTGGTTATTGAAGATGTCCCATGTTAGTCTATTGGGGGAAAAGGTTCACATTTGAAAGGCACCCATAAGAAGTTTTCTGTAACTTTGACCAAAGTGATGATTTGTAAATTCCGGTTTGGTTTGCATTCAATAATCCTTTTTGTGTTTTCTTTTCTTTGTGATCATTTGATATTTCCAGGTCGGCGGGAGGTCAGCTTTCCTCTTCTGGTCTCATGACAACAGATCTCACTCCTCACACTTTGGTGGCTGTCCGCCGTTCTCCAAACCCTGTGGGGAACGAGACAGGGAGCGGGAGCACCGGGAGCGGCTCGCCCAGTCATCCAGGCTGTTCTGCCGACCCGAACACAGAGACGACATCTGGAACCACCAGCGGCGCCGCTCAGCCGGGTACGAGGCGTAGAACTGTGGAGAAGCACCAGAGGAGAGGGGGTGTCAGCGGGTAAAACTATATTCAACAACCACTATTATTTCAGTGTGTTAACCTGTGGAAAAGAAATATTAGGTCACATTTACATCAAGCTTCTCTGGGGTAATTAATCTCAGCTCTGAAAGGGTTCCTCCTCCAGTAAAAACAATTGTTAATATCAAGAAAATTACCACAATAAATACAATTTAATCTGGATGAGAAGAGGACAGATGGAATTTTTCTGCTTAGATTACTACAAAATCCCTCACCTGGCAGGACGGCAATATAAAAGCAATTTCTGAGCCATAGTGATGTTTTTTAAATAACCTTTTGTAAATTCATGTAAGGTTATAACTTCAACGGGGATATGAAATCTAATCAAGTATCTTATTTAGACATGAAATTGTATGCACATCGGCAAAATTTCAGAAATCTTCTCATGTCTCAATGTTCACCAATGGAACAAAAACAACTTTATCAGGACTTAAAAAATACAACACATTTTAAAGTAAAACATGTTCCTTTTTTCAAGTCCCAGGACAAAAATATGTATATTATACACTGCTTAAATCATTAAAGGATTACTGAACACTGAACAGAGATCCATTTCTCACCACTTAAAGCACATTTTTATGTTAGTTAACAGTAAGGAACAGGACAGCTCTGCACAGTTTATTCTGATTAAATGCTTGATGCATGTATACGCACAGCAAATCTTTTTGCAACCACATGTGTAGATGTACTAGAGGTTGGCGGGGCATCATGGGAGTGATTCTCTCTGTTGACCGTAGTCAAGACGAACGAGTGAAACCAACCTGAGGAAGAGAATATGTTCACCGACGATACATCCAAGTATAATTTACATGACGTTTTTTTTATCACAGCAGCACATATAGCAACAGTACGGCAGCTTTCAGTAGCAGCTCCCGCTGCCTTGTGCAGCTGTCTTGGATGTAGCATCCGGTGTTTCCACAGCAACTATAAACATTCTGTCTGTCTTGGCGGCTCATCATGGCGGGCGCCGGGAGAAGACACGTCCCATCACTATTTAGATATTTTAGTGTGAACATTGTCATAAAATTCTACATATTACACCTTTAAGTGTTCCTTTAATTGTATTGAGCAGTGTATTTTCATTCATACATGAAATAATGTAACATAACGTCAACTGATTTGGATAAATACAGAAAAAATATTGAATTTTTTAAATTCAGTTTCAGGCTGAGGACATAGACATAAGGTTTAACTCTACATCGGAACAGGGTCAAATAAGAAAATGCAATAAGTGATATTACTGCATGTCACATTATCATGCCATCGTGGTCATGAACACTCTAGTTGATATTGAGATTTTTTTATTGCCAACACTTTGTTTAGCAGATGCACTTTTCCACAGATTTTTATACTGAATGAAACCATTTTAAAGTGTTACACTGGGTGTACGTGTAGGTAAATGTTCAGTATTCAAACTTCTCTCATGTCTCAGCACAAATCATTTTATCCATTACAACATCATCTCTCAGTCTATAGTGATGCTCTCTGTCTGATTCCTCTCCTGTGTACTTCAAGGAAATTTCAGGTAAATATGTACTTTTATAGTCATCTTCTTATTTCAGTTTGAAGTACTGTTGAGGTCTGATAATGTCAAAAAAAAAATGGTTTAAATGATTTTGATCCTTGTGAATCCAACAGAACAAGGGGTGAACAGATCCCAGTGATGTTTCTGACACTTCCTCTCCTCTGGTTGAACCTTTACATCCCGGTCTGGTTCTCAGAAAATACTCCCGAGCAGTCCAGTCATCCAAACTGTGTCTGTGCTTTGAAGGCCAAAGCTTACCCCTCACTCCTTCACAGCTCCTCCTTCTCAACCAATTATGGCCACTCCTTTAAAGTATACAATAAGTCATAATGTCACATGAGAACAAACTGAGTTGCTCTTATGTTATACTGTATATAGAATTGTTAATATTCTCTTCTTTAGTGGAGCGGTTTTTTGTAATGAAGATGTCGTCATGTAGCCCCCTTCCAGCCCTGAAGTGGTTTGTAAAGCACAGACACAGAGTTTGATGGCAGCAGACCTGGGTCAAATAAACTCTGCATGTCATTCTTGGCATTTATTGAAAGAGGCTTCATGGTTCAGAGCTTTGGCACCTATTCACATGCTGTCTAAGGACTGAACGTCGAGTAAAACATGAGATATGTTGACTGGAAAATACTAGATTGTGATTTGATGGATTCTGGCAGTCTTGGTTCAGTAGCCGATCACCAACCAATACTGCTACCAACGAGGAATTAAACCAGATACTTAGCAGAGCAGGTACAATATCCCAACTGTCTTCTATAGTTTTATATATCTTCAACAAGACAAGAAGAGGATCATCAATTGCACGCTGTCCAGTATTTGTTGGCGGAGCTTTGCACAATAAATAAATGCACAGTTAGACGGAGAAAACATACACCTTCAAACAACTGCAAAGCTATCTGGATGAATATATATTATACATATGTCCCTTAAACTGTATGTGTCGATATATTTACAGAACTGTTAGTTATTTCTAAGTTAGTTATACTGAAGTTATTTCATTTGGAGAAACCAGAAGCTTGTTTTTGAGGCAGATGCAGATCCAGTGTAAAGATGAACGGGTTCCTCTTGTAGTTTGCCCTTAAACTTCCTGACAAACAGCTTTACTCAGTTTTCCCTGCTTCCCGTCTTAGAAAACGGAATCTTGACTCTTCACTGTATTGCCTGATTAAAAAAAGAAGCCTTGAAACATGCAGGGTAAGGTTTCGCCCCAGGTCTGTAGGACCCCAAACATATAACGAATGTACACCGAGTTAATGTATAGCTCACACTGAAGAGGTGCCGTGTTCAAAGACCAGACGTTTGACTCGACTTTGAACCGGCGCTCATTCACACAGAAACGGGTGGAGATACTCCGATCACTAAATGAATGACGTTGCATCAGCGCTTTCATCCAAAGTGGCTTACAGTGCCGTGAATGCAAACAGTTCACTTTGCAGTAAAACTAAACAGCTCATGAAAGCTTGTTTAGTCATTCCTTTCTCTATAACCATCATGTACCATCTCTGTTTACACGTCATCTTTGCACTCATACAATGATAAGAATGTAAATGTAAAAGACAGTATTTGGTGTAAAATGTATCTTTGCTGTCGTTGGTTTAGGTTTTGTCGACAGTGTTAATAGATATTTTGTATACAAAGCTATATGTATCGTCAAGTGGAAGTAGTAGTCTTTCAGTACTTAAACTTGGCAAAACATTGATCTTGGTCAGACAAAATCTTTTTCTGTGTTCAACGAGGGTGTCTTCAGGTTCTGGAAAGATAGACTTTTCAAGGATTGCCTTGAACATGGGTAACTAAAGAAGCGTCTGTGTATAGTTTTCATGCATCATGGTGTACTGCTTCTCTTCGGATGGGTCACCATGATTCTTTACTTTCTCCTCTAGCTGTAGTTCTTCTAAAGGCTATTCTAATTGGCGTTAATAAGGTAAAGCAAACTCTTAAATCTTTGTAAATAGAGCTTGCAGGCACCCTTATCAATGACCTGACCAGCAGTTTTGTCCCCCGATGATTTCACCCCATTCTGTTGGAAGTTGCCAATTTGTTCAGCCAAATTGTTTTCTATCAGTTTAATTAACAAATAATGTCTGAACTATAACTGTACCAACAACATACTACATTACATAGATTATATATGTATTCTGCTTTACAGCCTGGAAAGTATTAGGGATTCCTATTTTTAATGGCTTCACATTCCCTGACAGTACCGAGCGTAAGCTTGAATTTTTTGTCATTTACTTTCCCCAGCTTCTTTCCACACACTAAAGCCTGATCCTGAAATTGATGTTGGATGATTTTGCACTTTGTGAGGTTCTGTGCCGATGATCAGGAGTCAATTGCCACTGCTGCTGTAAACTAAAAACCCCATTTCTCTTTGATTTTCAGTTGCTTAAAAATATCAACCATTATATGTACAGGACATCTACTTTCATCAAATAGTAAATGACACATATATGTATACCGTAAAATATGGAATATAAATCACACCGATGTATAAGACGCAGCCCACGTTGGAAAATAGCTATTAAAAGTGTGTCTTATAAAACTGGATTTTATGGCATATAAACTTTTAAAGCTATTGTGAGGAGTTTTCAATTTGGGTTGATTTTGGTGCCCCCCTGTGGACAAAGTGGTACCTCTTATCTTTTTACTTAATTTGTCCAAGACTCGGTTTTTCTGATTTTTTTTTTTTATAAATCTTGCTCCTTGGAGTGTCTGTAAGTAATTCAAATATTCATATGTGACCTGTGGTGCTCAGAAAACTACAAATTTAGACTTATAGTTGAGTTTTTGTTTTTCTGATGTTGAAAGGATCCATGTAAGGTTTTTGGTCACGCACCATGCACACATGTAAAAAGCAGATTAGAAACTAGTTGTTCATATACATGAGGGAACCATTTAGTTATACACAAAATATCAAGCTTCTCAAATCCCTGTCTTCATTATTGCTGAAACATTGTTTTAAGTTTTCATGACATTCAATGGGCCGGTGTGTATTGTGGAGAAACCATTGGAAACATTGGGATAGTAAAACGAGGGTGTTAAACTTGTTATGCTTACACTTTGGAGTTCTACACTTTGAGATGCTTGCATCGTTCTTTTCCCCCGTACTCTTTCCTAGAGGTGGTGGGAAAAAATTGATTTATGTAATAATCGAGATTCTTATCCTCTGAGATTTAAAAAATAACTTCCAAAAATCGTTGTTTTTTTTAAACACCTTCCGTCTCGCCGTCCGCACTTCGCGGCCTCTGTAGAGGAAGCTACTGGCTAGTCACTCACTCACTGCTAAGTGCTAAGGCTAGCTCTCTAACTCAGTAGAATGCCAAATGGAGCAACAAGAAATTCAGCCAGTCTCACAGATGACTGGAGTAGATCCTGAAAAATGTACTAATTAAAAAAATAGACTTTGAATCATGAATCCAGAATTGTTTTCAATCGAAAATAGATTCTGAATCGAATCATGACCCCAAGAATCAAAATTGAATCGTGAGACACCCAAAGATTCCCAGCCGTACTCTTTCCCTCTGTGAGTGTTATGTATCACAGTGTTTACAACAATAGCAACCTATGAATGAAATCCTTTTTTACCAATCGTCTCAAGTGTAGAAATGCATTGTGGTAATCCTATAAGGTCAACATGACTTAATATGCAAGGTTCCCTTTAGGTTTCTACACCTCACCACAAGAACGTATTAATCTCTACACACTGCTCCTTTAAGGAGGGCATGTGCATGCATACTTTTGGTCATTGTCAAATGTTATTAAAGAACACATGTTTCATAAATCTGTTGGGAAAAACTCCCTGAAACAAGAGTTGTGGGGTTTTTATGCAAACAGCAGCTTAATTGTTGCCAGTGTGCGTGCAGAGGAATGTGTGCACTTTTCCCTGTGGTGTGTCTCTGGCTCACTGAAGAGATGGTGGAAGATGCATGAGGAAGCCCCACTACTACTATTACATATGTAGCTATTGTGTGATTGTTACAGCATGCTTCATATGTAGCAAAAAGTACTTATAAAATACTGTTATCTTGTACTATGTGTACTTTTGTAGCAGAGCGAGGTCTTTTTTAGTGGTACAGTATTTGAAGGAAAGTTGCACTAGAACAACCCAGAGCACTTAGCTTGCAGCTGGTGGACTTGATATGAGCAGGAGTTTGTATACTGGACAATCAGCAGGTTACATGCTCAGGTTTGGCCGAGTGTGGAAAATAAACGTATTACTTCTGTGGTTTGAAATGCTTT